GATGTATTTTTGAATTTGGTTTGCTAATATTTTGTTGAGTATTTTTACATCTTTGTTCATCAGGGATATTGGTCTGTAATTTTCTTTTTTTGTGGTTTTGGTATTAGAGTGATGCTGGCCTCATAGAATGAGTTTGGAAGAATTTCCTCTTCTACTCTTTGGAAAACTTTGAGGAGGGTGAGTATTAGGTCTTCAGTAATATTTGATAAAATTCAGCAGTGAAGCCATCTGGTCCAGGAGTTTTGTTTTTAGGTAGTTTTTTGATTACCAGTTCAATTTTGTTGCTGGCAATTGGTGTGTTCAGATTTTCTGTTTCTTTCTGAGTAAGCCTTGGAAGGCTGTATTTTTCTAGAAAGTTGTCCATTTCTTCTAGTTTACCCAGTTTGTTAGCATATAATTTTTTACAGTATTCTCTAATAATTCTTTGTATTTCTGTGATGTCCATAGTGATTTTTCCTTTCTCATTTCTGATTCTGTTTATGTGAGTAGACTCTCTTTTTCTTGATAAGTCTGGCTAGTGGCTTATCTATTTTGTTTATTTTCTCAAAGAACCAGCTCTTGCTTTCATTGATTCTTTCTGTTGTTATATTCTTCTTGATTTTATTTATTTATGCTCTAATCTTTATTATGTCCCTCCTTCTACTGACTTTGGGCCTCATTTGTTCTTCTTTTTCTGGTTTTGTTAAATTGTGAGGTTAGACTGCTCATATGGGATTGTTCTTCTTTCCTGAGGAAGGCCTGTATTGCAATATACTTTCCTCTTAGCACAGCCTTCGCTTCATCCCACAGATTTTGTGGTGTTGAATTATTGTTGTCATTTGTCTCCATATATTGCTTGATCTCTGTTTTTATTTGGTCATTGATCCTTTGGTTGTTTAGGAGCGTGTTGTGAAGCCTCCATGTGTTTGTGGGATTTTTCATTTTCTTTGTGTAATTTATTTCTAGTTTCATACCTTTGTGGTTTGAGAAACTGGTTGGTACAATTTCAGTTTTTTTTAATTTACTGAGGCTCTTTTTATGGCCTAGTATATGATCTATTCTTGAAAATGTTCCATGTGCACTTGAGAAGAATGTGTATTCTGCTGCTTTTGGGTGTAGAGTTTTGTAGATGTCTGTTAGGTCCATCTGTTCTAATGTGCGGTTCAGTGCCTCTGTCTCCTTACTTATTTTCTGTCTGGTGGATCTGTTCTTCAGAGTGAGTGGAGTATTGAAGTGTCCTAGAATAAATGTATTGCACTCTATTTCTCCTTTTAATTCTGTTAGTATTTGTTTCACATAAGTAGGTGCCCCCATGTTGGATGCATAGATATTTATAAGGGTTATATATTCTTATTGGATTGACCCCTTTATCATTATGTGATGTCCTTCTTTGTCTCTTGTGACTTCCTTTGTTTTGAAGTCTATTTTGTCTGAATCAAGTACTGCAACTCCTGCTTTTTTTCTCTCTATTAGTTGCGTGAAATGTCTTTCTTCATCCCTTCACTTTTTGTCTGTGTATGTCTTTGGATTTAAAGTGAGTCTCTTGTAGGCAGCATATAGATGGGTTTTGTTTTTTTATCCATTCAGTGACTCTGTGTCTTTTGATTGGTGCATTCAGTCCATTTACATTTAGGGTAATTATTGATAGGTATGTACTTATCGCCATTACAGGCTTTAGATTCATGGTTACCAAAGGTTCAAGGTTAAGTTCCTTACTATCTAAGATTCTAACTTAACTCACTAAATATGCTATTACAAACACAATATAAAGGGTTTTTTTTCCTCCTTCTTTTTCTTCCTCCTCCATTCTTTATATATTAGATATCATATTCTGTACTCTTTGTCTATCCTTTGATTGACTTTGGGAATAGTTAATTTAATTTTGCATTTGCTTAGTAATTAGCTGTTCTACTCTCTTTACTGTGGTTTTATTACCTCTGGTGACAGCTATTTAACTTTAGAAACACTTCCATCTATAGCAGTCCCTCCAAAATACACTGTAGAGATGGTTTGTGGGAGGTAAATTCTCTCTGCTTTTGCTTATTTGGAAATTGTTTAATCCCTCCTTCAAATTTAAATGATAATCTTGCCTGATAAAGTAGTCTTGGTTCGAGGTCCTTCTGCTTCATTGCATTAAATATATCATGCTACTCCCTTCTGGCCTGTAAGGTGTCTGCTGAGAAGTCTGGTGACAGCCTGATGGGTTTCCTTTGTGTGTGATCTTATTTCTCTCTCTGACTGCTTTTAGCAGTCTGTCCTTATTCTTGATCTTAGCCATTTTAATTATTATATGTCCTGATGTTGTATTCCTTGGGTCCCTTGTATTGGGAGATCTGTGTATCTCCAGGGCATGAAAGACTATCTCCTTCCCCAGACTGGGGAAGTTTTCAGCAATTACCTCCTCAAAGACACTTTCTATCCCTTTTTCTCTCTCTTCATCTTCTGGTATCCCTATAATGCGAATATTGTTCCATTTGGATTGGTCACACAGTTCTCTCAATATTCTTTCATTCTTAGAGATCCTTTTTACTCTCTGTGCCTCAGCTTCTTTGTATTCCTCTTCTCTAATTTCTATTTCATTTATTGTCTCCTCCACCATATCTAATCTGCTTTTAATACCCTCTATTGTGCTCTTCAATGATTGGATCTTTGACCGGAATTCAAATCCTGAGTTCTTGAATATTTTTCCGTGCCTCCATGAGCATGTTAATGATTTTTATTTTGAAATCCCTTTCAGGAAAATTCATGAGGACGATGTCATTTAAATCCTTCTCAGGAGTTGTATTCATAATTTTACTTTGAACCAGGTTCCTTTGGCCTTTCATATTTGTATATGGCGCCCTCTAGTGCCCAGAAGCTCTACTCTCTGGACCTGCTCAGCCCCTGAAGCAATGTCAGGGGTTGCAGGGGAGTAGTATTGGTGCCTGAGGGGTGAAAAGAGCTGTTTCCTGCTTCCTGGCTGCTATGCCTGTCTCCACTGCCTGAACCAGTGGGCTGAGCACACAGGTATAAGCCTGTATGCTTTGTGTTTGTAGTTGCTGTAGACATGTCTTCCCTCTGGCTGGCCTAATGCCAGGGTAGGGTGTGCCGGTTTGTGACGCAGGTGGGGCTGGCTGGGAGAAAGATGCAGTAGGCTGCCTGTCACGGAGGGGGTCCCTTGGAGCTGTGGAGCCAGCTAGGGAGCTGGAGCTCCTGAAGATCATGAAAGCTCCCAACCTGCTGGGCAGAGTGCACCCAGTCAATTTTGTCTACCTGTCCTTTCTCCTGAGCAGCAAGCTCTGTGCAATCCTTGCCCCTTAAGCAGCCCTCTTGCTGTTAGGAAGTCTCTCAGACTGACCGCCTTGCTTTTGTCCCAGTGCAGCCAGATATGGATCCCTGTTTTCCACAAGTGGCTGGAATCTCAGTCTCTCCAGGAATTCTGCCTGTCTTAGCTTTCCAACCCCCTAATCACCCGAGTACCATGCAAGCACCATGAAATGTAGGTTTGTTCTCCCAGAGCAGATCTCCGGAGTTAGGTATTCAGCAGTCCCAGGCCTCCACTCCCTTCCTGCTCTGTTTCTCTTCCTCCTGCTGGTGAGCTGGGGTGGGGGATGGGCTTGGGTCCCTCCGGGCCACGGTTTTGGTACGTTACCCTGTTCTGTGAGGTCTGCTCTTTTCTCCAGGTGTATGCAGTCTGGTGCAGTCCTCTTTCCTGTTGCTCTTTCAGAATTAGTTATATTAATTACATTTTCGTAGTATATGCAGTTTTAGGAGGAACCTCTGTCTCACCTCTTACACTGCCATCTTTAATCCTCTCGCCCGCTGTAGCCATTTTTAAGTGTACAGTTCAGTAGTGTTAAGTACATTCAAATTGTTGTGCAACAGATCTCCAGAGTTTTTTCATCATGCAAAACTGCAACTCTATCCCCATTACACAACTGTCCACTTTTCCAACCCCCCAGCTCCTGGCAATCACCATCCTGTTTTCTGTTTCTGTGAATTAAACTGTTCCAGGTACCTTAAGCAAGTGGAATCAGGCCGTATTTTTGTCTTTTTGTCATTGGCTTATTTCAGTTAGCAAAAAGTCCTTAAGATTCATCTATATTACAGCATATGACAAGATTTCCATCCTTTTAAAGGCTCAATCCAGAGGTTTTTATTGTATTCAAAACTTTTTAAGTGAATTCATGTATTTTTATGTATTTGCTGTGTTTTAGTCCATTGCAGTCATTATTCTTTTTGGTGCTCAAATTGTCCCAGTGGGAGACCTTCAATATAGACCATGAGGCCTTCTGGCATTACTCAGTAGTGTTTAATAGTTGCCTTACCTTACGCTGTGCCACAGTGTTTCAAGCTCATCTTGTACATTTACTGCCCCTTGAACGGGACCTGGAATAGGGCATTTCCCTAAAGGGTCCTGGTTTCTTTTATGTGTGTTTTATATTCCTTTTAAGGAACCTTTTATGTTTCTATTTTAGGTATTTAGGTTCTAAATACCATAGTCTAGGCAGCAATATAGGCTTACCTTTTAACTTATTCCTAGTAGTATCTCTTTTGTTTTAATTATAAATAGGACATATAGTAAGAGTATAACAGGGATAAACTGTTGTGGAGATGGAAATGTGATCAATTTCTCTGAACCACATTTAGAAGGAGTCTAACCATCTATGCAATGATTTGAAACCGTGGCAGCATATTAATCCCAGTGGCCGGGCCACACCCTGGCCCATTTTACTAGACTGTAGGAGTGGTACCAGGTACCTGGATTTTGCAAAGCTCTCCAGGTATTCCAGGATGCAACCAAAGTTGAGAAAGCTCATTTAGCAGTGAAGTCATAACCAAAATAAAATAAAACTAAAGGATGAATGAAAAAAGGATAGTGGACTCAGAAATTTCCTTAGATCAGAATAATATGAAGTTCTAGACTTTTCTCAATAAACTGTCTTTTTACTAATTTTATTATAAAGCCTTTAAAGTGTGGAAATCTCTTAAGTAACCCAATACTACAAATCTATATTGTTTTTCTTGTTTCTGTCTTATAGATCTGAAGAATCATCAGCCTCAGAGTTACTCAGTGCACAAGTGGGTCAGCATGTTGCCTCCTTGAAAGAATATGATAATCCTATCAAAGAAGAGGTAGCTAAGCTGTCTGAAGTTTTCCCAGTTGAAAACGTGGACCAGAGGACAAGAGTTAGTGATTTTTATTTATTTTAAATAAGTTTCAAGATGTATAAATTATTCATTTAAGGAAATAGTCATATTCTTAACAAGGTTAAAATATTCAAAAAATGATTAAGTAATAAGTGAGGTTTTGTGGGTGGTTGGTGAGTTTGAACTTTGTGGTCTTGGGCCTTTTACATGGTGTTTTGTGTAGGAATCTCAGCTCCTTGCACACAGTTAATTTGGGTCCTAGAGGTGACCTAATTAAACATAACTGCCACATTGTACAAGGAACTTAGAAGCATCTTATAGCATTCTCGTTTTCTTTCTCCACTCCATACTTTAAACATCCTGTGTGGTCACTCATGTCAATTCAGCAAACATGTATTGACCCATTTTCTGTACACAGGCACCAGCCCAGATCCATTGGCAGAAAACAGATAAAATACAGCCCCTCCTTCTGGGAAATGGCAGAGTGGGATACATGTAATAATAAAATGGCAAAGAACATGGGACTTGGGACAAGGACCCAAGCTATCTGGAGAAGCAGTGAGGGCAGGCTTTATGAGAGGTGTGTAAGGTGACCCTTCAAAGACAGGCAGGATTTTGATAGGCTGAGACTGAGGTGGAAGCAGAGGTGCAGGGAGGACAGGGGTGACCAAGAAGGGCTGTTATGAGCCAAAGAACAGACTGAGTAAATGGAACCTTCTGGTCCTCTGTGGCTGAAATATTGGCTCCAGGCAAGAGAGGGACAGGGTGGGGAGCAGGAAAGTCCAATGTAGTCATGGGTCCTGTTGTGCAGAGTCCAGCCCAGGCTAGGGAGTTTGTGTTTAAAATTCAGTTGATTTTGGAAAGCCACTAGAGTTTTTTGAGCAGGGCTGTAGACAGTGCCTTAGGGAATTTCATCTGCTTGGATTAGGGCTGAGATAGCAGAGGAGGGAGCAGTGGTTAAGCAAGACAAGGAGAGGCAGGAGAGGCCTGATTTAGGAGCTGTGGCAGAGAGAGAGTGTGAAGATGCTGAACAGAAAATGGAAACTGATGGAGCAGATTCCCAGAGAGTGTGAGGGGAGAACCTAGAAGCCCAGATTTAGTGTTCCCTTCATTAGTCTTTGCCATTCCCCACAAAAGCCATGTATTCAGAAAGATGGCTGCCTTCTCCAAAATTGAATGTCTTGTGAATGTGCCCAGTTTCAAAGTATCTTTTCTCATCCTTATATGTCATATAGGGTTCTTTGGCTTTGGTCTTTTTAGTTTTTCATTTTTATCATGCACAAAATTCAGAAATTCCACAGTGTCCCTCCTGGAGGAAAGCCTTACCACTTCTGTACTGGAGTCATACTCCTGTGTTACTGTGTGGTCCAGAGCCTCTGCCATCACACCTCAAGCCTTTCAGAGCACCTCAGTCCTTCTCAAGGCCCCCTTTCTTTGCTCCTTTAGTTAAAAGAGAGTAGAGGGAATTTTTTAAGCATTTCAAACATACACACATAGAATGATAAAATGAATCCACCAATCCCATGCCCACCAACCCAAATTGCATGTTTCGTGACCATTACACCATTTTTGTTTCAACACCCCCCATTTTTTCTCCCCACCCTCTTCCCACCCCTTCCTCTCCTGTTCCCCCCCACCCAGTCTCCACTTCTCTCCCCCTTTCACACACCTTTTCTCCCTTTCCTGCTCTTTCCTCTTCTTCCCCTCTTGTCCTCCTCCTCTCCTGTCTGTAACCTCCTTCTCCCCTGTCTTTCCTCTGAAATAAACCATTACAGATATAATACAGCCCTGTCTGTGCTTCTCACAGATCCCATGCCCCTTTTCAAAGACAACCTTGTGTTTATCCTTCCTACACACATTTTCATTTTATGACATTTTGTGACTCAATAAATAACCTAAAGTTTTGTTTGAGGGATGATACCATTTGTGTGACTGTTCTTCAAGAAAGAACAGCATTTTTTAGGAAAAACAGAACCTGTGTTTTTTAGACCCATTTCATATTTGTTGATAAATGTAGATCTTAAGAAGGATGTTTTTAGGTTTTGTTGTCCATTTTATTGAGTGCTGTTCTATAATAATACTATTTTGCATTCTTGTTCACTTTAAGTACATCACATCTTAGCCAGGTCTAGGGTGAAATAAGTATTGGTCTACAGCCCTTAGCTTTCTGACTATCTTTTTTTTAAGGTGTTGTTTATATTAGAAAACATATTCTAAGTTCCAGGCAACCAGTCCACTTATAATTTTGAAAATCACAACTCCATTATTAATGGTAAGGGGACTGCCCAATCAAGAACTTATGAATCAAAAGATATTCTGCCTTGCTTGTTTCTTTTTATATCATTGTGAACCCATCTTAGTGGCAATCATAAAAATTACCCAGAAATGAATGACAAAATCTTTCCTTAAAACAGAATTAAGCAGGCTATTTCTGTAACGATTAGCTTGTGACTGAAGAAGTGCATAACCCTAAAGAACAGTGTTGCCAAGATGATATGGGCAGGCCAAGTCTTGTGAGCTTTACAACAAACTGCTTTTGGGGCTCTGGGACTGTTCTGGTTTACTCATCCTTTTATGATTAGCAAGTCAAGTATCTTTGAGTTATTTCCCTGTACTGAAACAATATACACATTTAGTAAATAGTATAGGTTAAATATTTCTCTGCAGATAAACCTTAAAAGTAAGAGATTTTCAAAATTTAAGAAAAGCTCTACTAGCAGTTTCTTGGTTAAGGGTCTAATGAAGCTCAGGAATATTTACTTTGATCTCTTGGGTAAATGGCTAATTAAACAGCCACATGTAACTGATGTTTACCTGTGGGTCCGCTTGCTGTCAGCTGGAGTCAATCCCATCTCTTGAGTAAATACATCATTAAAGCTACCGAAACTTGGATTATGTTCTCTTGAGACCAGATAAGATCCACAGCACCTGCATAACCTATTAGACAATTACATAATTGAGCTGCATACTTTTAAATCAGAAAAATTTGTAATTGCCTTATTTAAAAAAAAATGAGTTGGGTGTTTCATTAAAACACTAAGTGTTTTCTCCTAAGTGGTATCTGTTTGCACCCAGGAAAACTTCGCCAGGGAAAGCAGAGTGGCTTGCTGATGTCACTCTTAGATTAGATCAGTCCCATCCCCCACACACCCCTCCAGAAAGACATGTGACTGGTCACAGAAGTCCCTTCACCTCTCCCTAAATGACAGACTGTTTTCTTGATCTTATCTCTTGAATACTTGTTTGCTGGTTCATATGAATACTTTCCCCTTTCTTTTAATTGCTATATACATAAAATCCCCTTCTCACAGAATTTAGATAATTTAAGGATGATGCTTGGATTTCTCTTTAAACACTGAAAAACTACTTCAGTGTGCAAAAGGAAGGTTCTTCAGAGAGGGTCAGTTAGACCAGTGTGTTAGGGGAAATATCAACTGCTGTCTACACCCGGGTTTTTAATTCTCTTGCTTTTCTGTATCTGTATTAACAGCACTGATATACACATAAAAGGGGATTTAATTGTATTAAATGCTTTCACATATATTTTCCACTTGTGTGACACCTATCACAGAAATCGGGTTCTTTAGGGAGTAGTGTATGTTTTCTTAAACTAGCAGGAAAAAAAGCAAACTTGGAATATTAAAGTAAGCAAAAAGGAGAAAAGAAAATTGCCATTGATGTTGCACTATATGGTTTTTAATGCATTGATAAATAGGTTTGTACTGTGTACAAAGCTCCCTTTTTTTCCTCTTGTCACAAGTGACTTCCTTGCCTGCCACCACATATTCTTCATTTCAGTTGCCGGCTCAAAGGCCCCAGTATGGATAATCCACTGTCTCTTAAACTTGGCTCCTGTTGTTGAACATTTAAGCTGTTTTTAATTTTTTCTCTAGTAAAAAAGTTTCAAAGAACATCTAAGCAATTCAGTTTTTGCAAATATCTATGCTATCACCTTAGAATGAACTCCTAGATGTAGAATTGTTAGGTCTAAAGGTACATGTACCTCTCAGCTCGTGCTGTGCACTGCCAGGCCTCACAGTGTTTCAGAGTTACCAGGAATGAGTGAAAATATCACTTCTCTGAGCTCTTTATGAAACTGGATATGTCTTGCTAATGGGTTTCAACCCTGGGCAAGTTCACTATGGATTCAATGTGACCAAAGAAAATGACAGCAAAATGTTCTTGGGGTGAAAGGGTTATACCCAACTTTATTTCCAGGTGGCAGGTCAGTCACTAGAATCCCATTCACTCAGAGCAAGTCTGTATGCAGCAAGCCAGTCTCTGCTTCTGGGCCCCTCTGTCTGCACAGCCATCCTCTGAGCCTCTCTGCACAGTCGTCCCACACAGCTGTCCTCTGTGCCTTTGTCCTCGGCACTGCCACCACTCCAGCCTCTGCTCTGCACTGCTCTCCTGCAGTCTTGCAGCCGTGCCACTGTGTCTCGCCCAGAGTACTGGGCAGAGCTCTTTTTTATAGAGTCAAGAGCCATGTATTGCTCACAGGTGTGCAGTGAGCTAGTCAACCACGGCCAGGTGAGAATCCTGGCCACAAGAACTCTTATTTTATCCACAGGGTACTATCAACTTTTTTTGGTTGGGGGGAGCATGAAATTCAGAAGTACAAATGACTTCTGGGTCTTTTTTTGTTCATTTGACCTTTATATTACAATTGAGGTCAAACTTTACCCCTACCTATTTGTTAGTCATTTATATTTCTTTAATAATTTGTCAGTTCATGTTCTTTGCTCCTTTTTCTATTAGGTTAGTAATATGATTTTTTTTTGGCTTGTAAGAACTCTTTTTATATAAATTTGTATAATTTGTTGCAATATTTTGAACAGTTTTATTTTTATCTTTCATTTTTCTTAATGGTATTTTGGACCAAAGTCTTTTCTATTAATATCTTCATCCATTTATGCATTTGAATATCACAGTTGATAAGTTTCTGGATATAAATTAAGAGTCAGCCTAGATGACTCTTGGGTTGTAGGCCTAACAGGATCCATATTTAAAGTGAACTCTGAGAAAAATTCTAGTAGAATTGAACCAATAATTCTAGGTATCCTGCTAAGTGTAACTCATAGGACAATTTATCTTTTCAAGACCTGAAATACAGAAATATCACCAGCAGTCATTCTGTGAGTGGCATGTGCCTTGGCACTAAATTCCCAAGGTCTTTCTCCTGGCTCCTGGAAAGGCAGAAAATTGAGGGACTAGTTTGTTGGTATTAACTGAGGCTTCAGACTGCTGAGAACAGAGACAGTCTCCAGTCTTCTCCTAGGCTCCAAATATATGAAATCTGAGAGCCTTTATTAGCCAATAGAGAAGATGAAACCCAAGCATAGTCTACTCATAAGCAGTATCATGAGGGCCATGGTAAATTGTTGTCTGGTGGCATATTTCAGATAGAGAGCTCCGATTCAGAGAACTCATTCAGTCCCAGTGTGATATGTTCAAAGTGGCATGCTCACTCTGCTCTGGGCTTTTGTTGCTTTGAAGATATAAGTTATTATTGTCAATCTCAGACTGCAGGCTCCTTCACATGGGGCCTTCCCTAGAAATACACTTTTCTGAAAGATCTGCAAACAGGATGTCTTGAGAATGTATTACAGATGTTTTTCCTGGCTCTGCAGAAGTTGTTTTTAACAAGAAACCTTCTGACCATTCCTTGTTTGATGCTGAGTTTTGTTTCTGTCCCTGCTTATCATATTCCCTGTTTGTTAGGGAATTAGAGTGTGGATTGCTTTATAGATGACCCATTGGTCAGATCTCCTGCCCTCTCTGTTGGCTCCATGGTCCAGTAAAGTCAGGCCAACCATTCTTACATTGTAATATTTGACCATCCATCAAGATCCTTATAGAATAGTCATCTTTGAGAAATTATCTGTAGAATTATCTTTAAAAATGAGTCCTTTTATAAATGTCTCTTAAAAGAGTAAGAGAAATCCTAGAGATGCAAGTATTGAGTAGTGAAGATAAATGGGATGAAATAAATAAGTGAAAACCTGTGATATGCCCACCACTTCACTTTAACCTCACCATGATAAAACTAGTGCTCACTGCAGGACCAGTAACACGGGTGGTGATATTAGCAAGCTCACAAGGACTTATTAGAAAGACATTTGCAGTATTATTACTGCATTTTATTCTGTTTTTTCGAAGCCCAGTTGGAACCCAGCTGAAGCAAAAAAGGGTCTTATGTGAAAGGGATGCGCAAAAAAGTGAGATAATTGTGCATCACTGTTGAGGGACTGGTGAGAAGCAGTCTGAGTCACTGACAATATAAAACAGTTTCCATTATCTGCAAATTCTGTAGTAAAAAGTACAGAAAGCTTTGACAGTCCTTCAACAATTTCATTCTTCAAATGTATGTTAAGACAGTGGCTATTATGAATTCATGCCAAGAAATTATTAGGCACAGCTATTACATAAAGATGAGGAAGGAAATACATATTTGATAATCTTTCAGAATGTTTAGATTACTTTAAATATCAGAAAAAGAAAACTATAGCTTTCCCTACAGAATTTGAGCCAGTTCTTTTTGTTCATATTCTAAAATGCTTTTCATATATTCAGGATCATTGGGCATACAAGACAGGAGCTTAACTCTCTGTGGGAACAGACAGACTAGATCAGGATGGGTGTGGATCTAGAAATGAGACCTGCCTGGATGGTCCACAAACCACACTGATGGTTGAGAGATGGCAGTGCAAAGAGGTGTTGCTACTCTTCACTCCCCTCTTTATGGACAGATTTTGAAAGCAGAGGTCAAGCAGTGGTCCACACAGTCATCTGGGATTGGGGCACTGTGGCATCCAGCAATGGGAACCAGCCCTGGTCTGGGCTTCAAGGGCAGGGATCTATACCCGAACCCCAGTCTTCATAAACAGGAATATGTGCACATCATCCCAACAGACGTTATCACAACTGGAGTAAAATCCAGGGGCTGCTTTGTACAAATAGAGGAAAAGCACCTGGTTATTAGAACTGCACTACAGACAAGTCCTGGCTGCGAGTCTAACTTGATGCTACGTCCTTTAGCCAAGGAAATCAGAACTCCTCAATCACCTGCAGGCAGGTGCCCCAGTCCCTAGGATAGGCCAGGGATCCAGGAGGCCAGCCAGTCCTAGGAAGAGCAGAGGGCAAGAGCCTTGCAGGGATGTCAAGGCCTATGGCAGTGGCCTCGAGGTATGTTCAATGCCAAATTCACAAGGGTAGGTCTTCCACGTTCTTCCTCAGGGATTCTAATTCTCCTTGTCAGGATATCTTCAGCTTCCTTCATATTAATCACAAGGAGAGAGTATTATTTTCCCCCTTGTTCACTAGCTAATTATGTGTCTTCTTACCACTTTGCTCTTGTACTAATGATGACCTGTGAGGTTTTGTCCAGTTCTGCTCTTCATGTTGACTTACGAAGTCTCATGTTCACTTCCCATGGATTGGGTTGGACACTGCTGTGCATTTATTACTGTTGTCAGATACAAGTTGAAGGTCAGCACCACCATGTCCTCTCCCAAACGCCTGGGCAAATCACTGCTTCTAAGAAGGAAGGGAAGAGAAACTCCCCCTCTGGCAGCAAGACGATGTCATCATTGGTGGTTTAACTCTTGTCACCAGTATATTTTCACTTCTTGGGGGAAGAGTGCTGACCTGGAAATTAAGAGACCTAGGTATTAGCCTGTCCTGTTAATACCACTTTTTTTTCACCTCTCAAGTTGGCTGTGATCAAACCTGTGCACACCTCCCTGCCCAGGACATGTGAAGTAATGTAGGACAATTCAGGGCCATTTGAAAACAGGCGGTGTGGCAGCTGAGTTTCCCAAGCTCCCCAGCAGACTTAGCAGACTAAGCATCCTTATCCTTTATTAAAGATTATGGTTCAAGTAAGGTCAGCTCTCTTTTTGCTTCAGCGAATTCTCCTCAGCCACAGTCTTCCCATTTAGGGAAGTTTAGGGGTCATTTCTAAAAGGATGGGGATACCTCAAGGTCACATTTTTCCAGATCTCTTTCTCATTCCAAACCAACTATTTTGTTGTGCCTGAAAAAGAGGATTCCAGCAATGAAAGGGCAAATCTTGGATAAACCAGCCCAGATTAGCAGAGGTGGTCACATCTCATATACATTCTTCGCAAGTAGAATACCTCTGCATTATGTAAGATTCTGTCCTCAAAAAATGTATTATTGCAAGTGTAAGTTGTATAAAGAATTAAATTTTACTGAAAACTAATCAAGTATTATTTTATCTTGAAGACATTTAAATTTCAGCTAAATGTCAGGAAACAAATTAAGTTGCAGGTAAAGCTTAAACTAAAATTATATTTGAAGGCTGGGTTTGAGACCAAGGGGAATGTGGCTAGAGTTTGTTTTTATTTCTTTGTGCTTTTCTTTTAAACACTGTAGGCAACAGCATTATTGAAAAAAGCCCTTACAGAAGAGTGTGACTATAGGTCAGCTATTCACAGTAATGAATCATCTTGCAGCTTGCCATCTATTCTGAATGACAATAGTGGAATAAAGGAAGCAAAACCCGCTCTATGGTTCCACAGTGTTCTTACAAGGGAACAAGGTAACTATTGTTAGAGGGTCTGTCCACAGAGCAAATGCATTTAGAGTCAACCAACACCCTCATTTTCAAGGTATACCTGTAAAATAAGGCCAAGAATATCTCTGATCTTATTATGCATGTTACTTATTTTATACCACCTTCCAATAAATATATATGTTTTCATTCAGTCTAACAGGAATATAAAACCTAACTGTAGGTCTGCAGTTCTGCTGAATTTCTAATAAAATAAGTCTTATAAGTTTTGAAATCTTAAAACTAATCTCTTGGCAGCAGCTAATTTTGATCATCCCACAAAGATGAAGATGATTCCGTAAAGTAACGAAGAAATTTAATTTGTAAACATTCTATTTAATTATAAGTCTTTAAGCATCTAAACAAATTAAGAATCAATGAATTTATGACCCCAGAATTTAATAACTAATTCTTAGTATCCAGAAATTGTAATTACTTTAGACTTACTATTCAGACATGCCAGTGAACTGCTATAATTGTATTTCCAGGACAACACTGAGTTGCTCAGGATGCACTCAGAAGTTGATATACATGCACAGGATTTGAGGCTAACTTGTTTTAAGCCCAACCCAAATTGGATGGATGTCAGGCTAAATTATTTTGCATAAATGCAACATAGAGATAGCTTAGATTTGGAATAGATTTCCTTTCAGGAATAGTACTATTTCAGACAAAAAAAATAAGCTGGCCAAAAAAATGGAGGTGAGGAGGCAGTGAAAATAGAAGGAATGGCAGTTTAAAAAAGGCAAACAAACAAATATCTGTTTCAAAAATACATCCTTGAAATACTTTTTTATTATCTCATGTTTGGTTTTTAGAAGTTTCAAGTGGCTGCGAAGAGGTGAGCCAGGAAGAAAGCACAGCAGCGAAGATTCCAATCACAGGTACGGTTGCTTTTGCCCAAGAGTTTCAAACACAGTACTTGACCTTACTGCATAATCAGAACATTCTAGGTTAGTGGTTTGTGGACTCCGCTGAGGGCAAGTATGTTCAACTACTGTATGCTGGAGCAGGAGATTAATTATGAAAGCATAACATGCGAGCTTATGTTAACATAAACTAAGGTGGAAAATAACCGAGTCTCTTGAATTCTTCATAATCATGTTAGACATCTACACATGTGAGCATCCCCCATCCCATAGCCTCAGCACCTGCGTCTGTGTGGAAAGGTCAGTCTCCATGGGGAGCACCCAGTCATTATAAGGCAAACTAAAGATGTTTCTGGTTTTACTCTTTTCTTTCCTATGATAATTGAATGTGTATCATTAAAATGAAAGCAGGAAAAAAAACATGTCAGAAAAGAAGCTTGCCTGGCACCTGTTAACTTAAAACTAACCAAAAAAAGGAGGTGGTTATCTCATTTGATAATTTAAAAATTTTAGCAATTTATCAGAACCTTTTAACATTTCTGCACATGTTGTAGGCTTGTTTAGACGGACTCTGAAAGTCATTACTATTTTTGGTTGTAGAATATCAGCAATAGTAATTAGTATTCTGAACAGAGTTCTATTTGTCATACATCTAAATTTACTAGTACCTTTCTTATTTTGTAAAGTGGTTTACTACTTCATTAGAAATTCAAAGGTCTGACTTTACATATTTATACAAGTAAACACACTATTGCCCCAAGGTATTGAAGCATGCATCTGCGTATGTGGTAGTTTCATTGTTTATAAGCAGGAAAGAATGGCTTGCTTTTATGGCAGTACAATCATGGCCTGATGATTAATTTTTTTAAGCCCGTGTTTCTGTGATGAACTCTGGTTTTGAAAAAGGAGTTTATAGTAGAGCAATTATTGTATATATTCTGCATCAGATAGTATTTCATTTCAAAATACAGAGGTTTTTTTTATCTTTCAAACATCTTCCCCATGGTATGTTCACTGCATTTTTATTCTTCATTTAAGAAAACTCTGGTGGAGTCTCCTTTTATTTTTTTTATTAATAGGAGCAGTAAAGATGATCCCAAACTGCAAATAACCAAGAGTCACTGGGTGCTTTTCTCTTGCATTTACCTTTGAATACAGATGTATCTAATGACCTCTGAATTTATTTCAGTTAAAATTATAAAGCCTTGGTGGGTAGAAACCAGGAAATGATCTTGTTGCCCATTCTTCTCTTTTCAGTGTTCTTCCCAGTCACCCCTGCTGCAGAAGGTGGTGCTCCCACAGATTAATGCAGATGTTATTTTATCACAGAATTTCTTTAGGAGAGAAGAGATAGTTAAATACCAGGTTTCAGATCTTTCTTTTCTTCATGCAGAAAGAAGTATAATGAGCCTAGAAGTAATCAGGGCTATTTGCTATTGAGATTTTTCAAGAAATTGTACTTCCAATAACCTGCCATTGATCCATCAGTAGTTGGTAATTTTTTTTTAAATGCTGTTGTGCCTGTTGTACGCCAAAGTTAGACATATAATATAACTTGGGAGATATGAGAAAAATGTTCAAAGCCATTTACTGTGTTGGAGCATGGCCACACTGTCCGCGCTGCTGCACCCTCCCCCGCCCATCGGGCCCCTCGTGAGTCGGTCTCTGAGTGCCTCATGCTTCTTCGCTCTGCCTAATACTAACGTGATGTCTGTCACTGAAGCTACTTTGATCTCTTATTTTTTACCCGTTTTTTTTTTTAGGTTGAGATGAAATATAACATTGTATTAGCTTAATCTCTAAATTTCTTGACCATGATCTCTTTATTAAATCTCTGTATCTTTTAGCATAATTATTTGGAGATTTGGCCTTTGATGTAGAGTAAGGCAGGCATATAATTTGACTTAAGATAGGTCCTCTCCCCCTTTATAATGGTTTGCTGAGGCTTTCCTATTGTATGGGCTGCATTCCATCTAGAATATTCCGAAGTGAAGGAATATATGCCAGAGGCTGTGTTCTGGGGGTTGAGGAGTGTAGTGGCCGAGCTTGGGCTTGCAGTCAGCTGCCAGTGTCAGCTTTTCTCCCTCCTCTCTTTCTCTACCTCTCTGAGCCTTTGTATTAGGAAAGCAGACATACTACCTGGCAAGACTGTCTGAAAGTTCAGATGAGATCATGTGTGCAAAAGTGCCAAGCATGTACTGGACACTCAGTACATGTCTGCTGTGATTTACAGTGATGCTCATATGCACATTAGTAGTAGTGTTGACCTCCTGCACCAGCCCCACAATCCCCAGCATTTCCAAATAAGTGACATCTGGTTAAACGGAACCTCACAAGGCAAACTCAAGGAAGAAAAAAAGCAAGGGGGCAGGGGGTGCAGTAGCACAGAAAGAGTAATCCTGAGACAGATCCTGAGGGCCATCTGAACTGCACCTCCGGACTTGCAGTTAAGTACCTGGGCCAAGACCCGCCCAAGCCTCATGCTGCCAGAATTCCTCCCTGACAGCACTCGCTGGAAATACGAGTATGCACTTCTGCAAGAAGTTTCCACTTGAGATTTCAATTGATGATTTGAATCCAGGAGGATGTTTACCTTATCAAAAAGGAATCTTGAGGAGAGATTCATGATACTTTTGGCACTTCTGATTAGTCCCACAAGGAAACCCTTAGAGAAGAGTCACTAAAAGCTGATGAAGTGGCTCTTGGTCAAGGCCAAGATGTCACCCCTGTGAGTGTGTATGCACCATAAGTGTGCCTGCGTGTCCTCACATGCTCACAGCTGAGGACATCACAGGGCACACGATGGCTGGGCAGTCTTCCTGTGGTGCAATTTCTCCAAGTCTGTCGTGTGAGGTGTTCCACCCAGAAGGTACTTCAAGGAATACATATTTTGGTGCCAAACCCTGCATGATCTCTCCCCCTCTGCATCTTGCATAATACACAGGAGCCTGTTGAAGACTTTTAGAAGACTGTCAGTCAATGAACCATTCAAAAGTGTGAACCTAGAGTTTCAAATAACTTATCTTCTGTTTAAAAATGGAATCCTTCCTATAAAATGACCAACAGAATTAATGTTGTATAAAACACATATTGGGGAATATGCACACCTATAAGTGGAATGTTTTTAAAAATGTTTAATGAGGGCACCAGTTTTATAAATACACTGAAATTATCTTCAACCTAGTTGCCCACTGACAGCTAGTTTTCCTGTAGTTCCATTTTGTACTACAGAAATTGCTTTATAATGAGACTTTGGGCTACTTTCATGTAACCAAATCCAGATAATGTTATAATTGAAAGTTATATGTTAAAGCTACTCCCCAAATTGAAGACTAGCAGCCTACAGTAGTAACTTTTGACACTCCAGAAGTGCTCTTCTTCAGCCTGGGTTCTTCTGTGTGACTTTATTTGCATTACAGCCATAGTACAGAAGGGATATAGCAGAGAAAGAGGCCCAGGTGCAGCCTGGGGCAGGCTCTAGGAAGCTGGGGAGAATGGGTGGAAGCTCTGAAGTCACACCATTTTCAGAATGATGAAGGTGGTGGGGAAGTTTATTTAACCTGAGAAGGGAACAGAAGCCTGTTTAAATATTTGTGGGGCTGCCCCGCACAGAATGTTTATTGTGCATAATTATAGAGTGTAGCTCAGGGGGCCCTCTTTGTAAGTGTTGCAGGGAAGAAATTCACAGCTCAGTAATGGAAGAGCTGTCTAGATTTTCATTTCAGCAAAACCAAGCTGTGAGGTGTGAGATTTTGCGCTGGGTGCTTGAACCCTGGCAGGAACCCACTCGTAGAGGGCACTGTAGAAGGCAGCATTCTCGGTTCTGGGGACCCTGACATTCCCTCTAATGCTGAGTCTGTGATTCTCATTCCATGTTCAAGGAATCAATTGTGCCAACATCTCATTTCTTCATTTCCTTTTCTTACTTGCTCACCCCACTGAACAGGTCTTCTTGGCAGAGGGGCCCATCCTTTAAGAGTCAGCTGTCACTCCGAAGGCATCTGCTTTGTTAATCATCACTTGGGGGAATGTGAGTGTCATAGCTCTAGTTCCTGTAACCTGTGCTAAGATTTACATAGAAACATGCCTAACCCCCCAAAATGTACCCACATACCACCAGAGCAAATATCCAGACAGCCTGGATGATCTGCTCTTGTTGACACACCTACCCCCTTTTTCAGTCTAGTTGTTCACACTAAAGAATCCAGGCAGAAATCTAAAGTGAATTTTGGTATCTATGAATGTATGGTTTTCTATATATTAAAAAAAAGTACATCACTTGCATATATATACGAAAAAGTGTATCATTTGCATATGTATACCCCTTTACTTGGGCTGACTCCTGGGAATACCAGGGACAGCAGAAGACTGAGTCCCTGCCCTCACTAGGCCTCCATCATCTCTAATCTAACAACAGTCCTGTGGGGTAAACATCAGTAGCTCAGTCTACAAATGGTCCAAACAAAAACAGATAAAAGATTCCTGCTCAAGGCCATAGAGATAGTGTGTTATATCTTGAACTCAGACTTTAGGATTTAAGCCTGAACTCCTTCTAAACTACCACCCTGCCTCTTCAATTTGCAAGAGAGGCAACTTCAGGATGTCTGGATCAGTTGTCAGCATATATCATAACTGAACATGAGCTCTGCAAGGATGCTGGGAGAGCAGTGCTGGACGAAGCCATACCTTTCCTTCTATTGTGTTAGGCCTAGAGAGGAGCAGCTTGCAAGGCTTTCCCAGTGCGGATTATATCACAGGTATGCCCTTTATAATGAGGGCTAGCCTAAGGACACCTGGGCCTGAGAGCTCATGCAGGTAGTCGGATATTCAGGTCAGTGTTTCCCTGAAATGTTTAGGCCAGGATTAAATCAGCGCTTACCTAGGTTATGAGAGAGAGTCTCCCCCAGAACTACTTATACTCCCAAAGTGAAATTTTCCACACTGGCAGTTTGATTTGTATTCACACTCAATTTACCTATGAGAGGTAAGTGAGTTCTAGTTTTAGCAAATGATTC